TCTGCCTGGAAGCAAGGGGTGTGGGGAGGAAAAGGAGGGAGCAAGAGCAGGGGGTAGAAATAGCACAATGTATGCACATATGAATAAATGAATAAATAAACCAAGAAAAAAAAAGTGCCATCCTGCCAGCCCTTCCAGCCCTTCTGGTGGCAATCTATAGTGAACTTTGACCATGCTTGCCATTACCACCAGTCAACTGAATCTATCTGAAGGGAGGCTAAGCCTGGGGTGGTAGAGAAAGAGGTGCCAGGACTCCATGCTTGTCCTTGATTCTGCCTCACCCTGGTCAACCATGGTCAGGAGGTAGCAGGAGTGGGCGAGCCTCTCCTCCGAAGATGTTAGGGCAGTGAAAAGATGCCAACCAAAGCTGAGTAGTCTTAGCCCATTCCTATTTCACAGAGTCCTGGAGAGAACTGAGCCTGAAAGTAACCTTGAACAAACTAAACACAGCTTGGCTACTTGTAATCTATTTATTCCTGTTTTGTTTTTGTTTTTTCATTTCTTATTCATCCTCAAAGGGTTCTAGGCCTTCCTCCTTCACAAACCCAGCCCTTATGGGTTCACATACCAGAGAATTTCAAACCACAGTTCAGAAATGATTTAGGGAAGGAGGCAAGTCCAGTTTACACTTTCCCCTCCCTCTTGTTTGTTTGAGTTGGGAAGAAGCCAATAGGATGAACTGGATCATGGTGTCCCATCCAAGGAGACAGCAGGCTATTTGTCTTCTCTCATGAGAGACAATCCTGGGGGGAGGAGAGAAGGGCTCAGGAACAGTGATGGATTGAATAGAAAGAAGACAACCATCAGAGCCCTGAAAAGTATAGCTGGGATGGCCCCTGTTATTAGGTATGAGGCTTTTCAGACTTGAGAGCCAAGAAGGGGAGCAGAGGAGGGATTAGGAAAAAGTAAGAAGTTCTAGTCTTGACTCAAAAACTGTATTGTGTGGTTGGGGCATATCACCTATTTCCCATCTCTGTCTTCTTTCAGTGAGTGAGGGGGCTTACTATTCTGAGCCCCCAGACCCCATTTCTAAAAGTGTATGATTCTAAAACCTTTTTTTAATATTAATTTTGGGGGGAGGGCAATACTGGGGTTTGAACTCAGGGGCTTGCACTTGTTAGGCAGGCACTGTACAACTTGAGCCACACCACCAGCTAATCAATTTTTTTTTTTCTGCTGTAGGGATTGAACCCAGGGCCTTGCGAAGCTAGGCAAGCACTGCACTCTACCACTTGAGCTATGTCCACAGTTCTTTTTTTTTTTTTCTTTTATTATTCATATGTGCATACAAGGCTTGGTTCATTTCTCCCCCCTGCCCCCACCCCCTCCCTTACCACCCCCTCCACCCCCTCCCTCTCCCCCCCACCCCCTCAATACCCTGCAGAAACTATTTTGCCCTTATTTCTAATTTTGTTGTAGAGAGAGTATAAGCAATAATAGGAAGGAACAAGGGGTTTTGCTGGTTGAGATAAGGATAGCTATACAGGGCATTGACTCACATTGATTTCCTGTGCGTGGGTGTTACCTTCTAGGTTAATTCTTTTTGATATAACCTTTTCTCTAGTACCTGTTCCCCTTTTCCTATTGGCCTCAGTTGCATTTAAGGTATCTGCTTTAGTTTCTCTGCGTTAAGGACAACAAATGCTAGCTAATTTTTTAGGTGTCTTACCTATCCTCACCCCTCCCTTGTGTGCTCTCGCTTTTATCATGTGCTCATAGTCTAATCCCATTGTTGTCCACAGTTCTTTTGTTTTGTTTTGTTTTGTTTGTGAAACTGGACTCCAACTTTTAATCTTCCTTCTTCCTTTCAAGTAGTAAGAATTATAGATGAGCACACCACACCAGCCTTCTAAACATTTTTTAAATGGCTATTTATGGGAATGGGAAGTCCTTCCTCTGTGTTGATAGAAAACAAAAAAATTGGGATGGCTGGACACCAGTGGCTCACGTCTGTAATCCTAGCTACTTGGGAGGCTGAAGTCAAGAAGATCGAGGTTTGAGGCCAGTCTGGGCAAATAGATCTGGCTCCAAAATACTCAGAGAAAAATGGATTGGAGGTGTGGCTCAAGCAGTCGAGCACCTGCTTTATGAGAATGAAGCCCTGAGTTCAAACTCCCGTCCCTCTCCCCCACCAAAAAAAATTGGAACAATTCTGAATTATTGGAAATGTTCTGTCCCTCAATGGAGGTAGGCTATGTACATGGTGTGTATATGGGAAAAACTCATTGAGCTGTGCATGTACACTTCAGCTTTGTGCATTCTTTTATATGTGAATTGTACCTCAATGGAAATGTTTTTAACTACAGAAGGAGTTGAGACAAGTTCCTAACAAGACTTTAGAAAAAGTGAATTCAGCCCAATGAGATTAAGGGTTCCCTTCTCTTGAGGACTTGAAACTAAGATCATTTATTTGTGCTGAAGGCAGAGGGGAAACAGGCAGCAAATAAGATGACCTCCCTTTTGGAGAGCTTTCTAAAGTTCCTCCATCCTCAGAAATTTCCATGTCCCTTCCCAGGGACAGAAAAGTCTTCCTTACTGCCTAATGTCCATCTCTCCTATAGCAACACTAGCCACTCCCTCTGCCCTCCACAGAGCAGGCCATTCCCCCAGCCTCACACAAAATCCCTTTACAAGCTCATGGTTGGAGTATTGAGGGAGACCCCATTTCAACCTTCTAACCATCTGTTCTTTTCCCCTCCCCACATCCTCTTCTCCTTGGATGTCAATTCCTGCCCTGAGCCCACCCCCACCCAGGCTCTTTTTCCGGTTGTATGTGCCAGCCCGTCCTGCATCCCACACCCCCAGCTGTTGACATTTCATTGCCGTTACCCACGGAATAAAGAAAGAGGCCCTGTTATTCAACAATAGGAGAAAAGACAGAGACAATGGGAAATTGTGCTTCCAGTGGGGTGGAGACAGAGAAGGAATGAACAGACAGACAGACAGAAGGAGCCAGGTTCCTTGAAGCAGCTGAAGTCCTGGAAATCTGGTTCATACCTTGAGAGTCTCTTCCCAAAGGCAATGCTGCACACCCAGGCACTGGAGGGCAGAGGTGAGGACTTTATTGGGGGGAGGGGAGGGAAAGGGCGACACTTAGATGAGGCTGATTTGGAAATGTAGTGGCAGCTGGAGCTTGGCAGCTATGGATCTTTGAGCCATATTCAGAGTTCATCCCCATCCCCCATCGGTCCAGCACCCTCATAATGACCAATCAATCCATCCTCTTCTGATTCAAGAGCATCTAGAAGCACTTTCTGCACTCTTCTAGGGAATCATTCCTGGGTTGCTTCCTTTATTCCATTTCCCTTCATCGTTTACCATCCTCATTGCAAGCCCAGCCTCTTCTCCTGGTCCCAGCACACTGAATTCCACAGATAAAATCACAGGGCTAGACAAGGGTCACTTAGCATAGTTTAGTGGACTTATGGTAGGGGGTGGAGAATGGAGATCTTGGCATCTTGACTGCTCCTTTGAGCACAGGAAAGAAGCCTTTTCTCAAAAGTGTAAAAGGAGCAACAACATTGCTTCTGGGTCAAATGCTCCAGACCCAGGGTTTCAAGATGTTTGGACCTCCCAGTTCAGGCAATGCCTTGACCTGGAACCTCTCCCTTAAGCAGAACAGAAAGCTGCTAAGCATTGCTCCCTTCATCCCTGGGAAGAGACCAGCTTCTAACAGGTAGGCAATGGAACTGCTGGCTATGATGACATTTTCTCCAAAGGGTATGAAGATGGTTTGTGTGTACCTGCTCTGAAAATGTAGATCAGTGACTAAGAGCTTGAGCCTGTCAGATCTGGATTCAAATCCCTCCTTTTACTGTGTGCCCACACTAAAGTCTCCTAAAATGTGGGTAGCTTTGTTTCAGCGTGTGTCACAGGGATTTATTAGTTCCTACCTCACAGAATTGCTAGGAGCAAATATCAAATTATATATGTAAAATGCTTGCAGCAGTGTCAAGCACATTCGACTAAACATGTTAATGCTAGCTGTCATTATGGTTGGTCCCTGAATCAATCTTAGTCTCCACAATCACTCTTTTTATCAAGTTTTCCTGTAAAGAGGAAGTGGCACTTTCACTTTTAACCACTGGAAAGTTCTTACTGTGCTTAACCTCTGTTTCTCCTCCTGCAAGCTAGCCTTTAGCCCTCATTTGCAAGATGCAGCTCAGCTCTTTAGATTTCTGGACAATTCTTTTCTCTCCCCCATGCTTTATTGTCTTCTTCCCATAATTCTTCAATGTGAGTTCACTCATAAAAATATACACATATTAGCTGCTGCTATATGCCAGAAACTACACTCAGAACAAGAGATAATAGCTAACACTTAATACATATCAGACTCTGTTCTAAGCATTTATATACACATAATTAATTTATCTAATCCTTGCAACTACTCTGTGAGGTAGGCATGCTATTATCCACATTTTACTGATAAGGACACTGAGGCAGAGAAAAGTTAAATAACTTGTTCAAATTCATACAATTAGGATGTGAAGGAACCAGATTTGGAAAATGAATAAAACCAGGTATAGGGGTCCTCAGTCCAATTTTTTGGGTTAGGTGGGTTGGTGAGGGATGGTGTGGGTCCACCATGGGGACTGGATCACAGGTGCCCTGGAAGCTGTAGTTAGGAGGTTGGACTTTATCTCCGGACAATGGGAAGCCACTGTTTCAAACAGGAGAGTGATAAGATCATATTTACTCTAGTTTAGGGAAGGAAAGGGGTGTTGGGAGAAGACCCAGACCCAGTTGACAATACTGCTGGCAAGCTTAGGAAGTAGCACCTGGGATGAGAGAGGATAGGGAGAGAAGATGCTAAATCAGGACCTGTTGGCAGAGGGGATGTGAGCAAGGAAGAGGGAAAGCCCTGTCAGGGTGGCCCTCTCATTACCTTTTGTCACCAGCCCCCTTTTCCTGCCCCCTTGGCTTCCAACTAGACAGATCTTTCCAGAAATCCCCAAAGAGTATCCTCACTGCTGTTCTTTCCCCATCCCTCCCTCTCATCCTAAGGAGTGCCCACCCTTTGTGCCCTGCACACGTGCTGACTGACTCTCCATCATGCCAGGCCCGCTCACCCTCCCTGTGTTCTGCCACTTCTTTCTCCCTTGGGTCTTCATCATCTTCCAAAACGCCCTGGGGAACCCAGGTAAGACCCCAGCCTAGCCCAGAACCTGGAGCGCACTGACGGAGAGGCTTCAACAGAGGGGAGAGTGAAAGGGGCAGCAGCTGGCTATACCCAGGGAGCAAGAGTCAGTTCTGAGAGGGCAATGGGAAGAGGGGTCCCGGGGAGCCTGGATAAAGTTTATGGGGGCAGGGTCTGGATGGGCATGGGGCAGTGAGGATCAGGGGGTTCCTGCCACTGTGGCCCCTCTGCTCAGCACCCCACCCGGGCCCCCACTACCTTCTGCCCCCCATCCACGAGGTCATTCACTCTCAACGTTGGGCCACGGTCACGCTGCCCTGCGTCCTGGGCGCTCCGCCTCCCAGCTACAAGGTGCGCTGGAGCAAAGTGGAGCCAGGAGAGCTCCGGGAAACACTGATCCTCATCACCAACGGACTGCAAGCTCGGGGCTACGGGCCTCTGGGAGATCGCGCTAGGATGCGGAGGGGGCACCGGCTGGACGCCTCCCTTGTCATCGCGGGTGTGCGCCTGGAGGACGAGGGCCGGTACCGCTGCGAGCTCATCAATGGCATTGAGGATGAGAGTGTGGCGCTGACCCTGCGCCTGGAGGGTGAGGCCCGTCGGCTCCCATCCCTCTCTCTAGCTAGGGTCGGGCCTCTCCTGGGTTTCCCAGAGGGCTTCTTCCCAGCACTTTCCCCACTCCTCCCGGGCGTCTTTTCTTCCACCCCCGCCTCGCCCCCTGCCCCGCTCTTCCACACTGCGCATCCCCCTCTCCCTTCCTCCGCGTCTGCGGACCCTCCCCAGGCTCTCCGTCATTCCCCAGGTGTGGTGTTTCCGTACCAACCCAGCCGGGGTCGGTACCAATTCAATTACTTCGAGGCAAAGCAGGCTTGCGAGGAGCAGGACGGACGCCTGGCCACCTACGGCCAGCTGTACCAGGGTGAGCCGCGTAATCCTCGCACAGCCCAGCCTCCCCTCCGGGCTGTCACAGGGGTCCCAACCAAACAACCAGGGGCTCTTGGGTCTGGCTCCAGCTGGTGACGCCTCTCCTCCCCGCTCCCTCCATCTCCCGCAGCGTGGACCGAGGGGCTGGACTGGTGTAATGCAGGCTGGCTGCTCGAGGGTTCCGTGCGCTACCCAGTGCTCACCGCACGCGCTCCATGCGGCGGCCGCGGGCGGCCGGGCATCCGCAGCTACGGGCCCCGCGACCGAAAGCGCGACCGCTATGACGCCTTCTGCTTCACCTCGGCGCTGGCGGGTGAGGGACGCGGCGAGCTGAGCCAAGATCCAGATGTGGGGCGGGATCTGAACCATGGGGGCAGAGGAAGGGGGTCTCTAAAGGCTGAGACCAGGAGCGGGTCTCGGTATCTCACCAAGGCACCGCCTCTGCTATTACCCTGTCCACCCAAACACCAGCCCACCTCTCAAATGCACCTGCGCCCAAATCATTGCCCAGGCTCTCCCATTCCTCCTATCCAACCTCGGCCCCGCCCCAGCTCCGCCCCACCCCCGTACGGGGAATCTGAATCCTTGTCACGCCACGCCTCTCCCTGCTCTCGCCGATCAGTGACCCACTCCGGTCCCCAGGCCAGGTGTTCTTCGTGGCTGGGCGACTGACACTGTCTGAAGCCCACGCGGCGTGCCGGCGGCGGGGAGCGGTGGTGGCAAAGGTCGGGCACCTCTACGCCGCCTGGAAGTTCTCCGGGCTGGACCAATGTGACGGAGGATGGCTGGCGGACGGCAGCGTGCGCTTCCCCATCACCACGCCGCGGCCGCGCTGCGGGGGCCTCCCTGATCCCGGGGTGCGCAGCTTCGGTTTCCCCAGGCCCCAGCAGGCGGCCTACGGGACCTACTGCTACGCCGAGAAGTAGGGGGTCACCGCACCCTGTCCAGCGCATCGACAAAGTTTGGGATTAGTGGCGTGGGTCTTTTCCCGTGAGCCTCCCCTCACGCCAGATGAGGAGCAAGCACTACAGACTTTCCTTCCAAGCCGGGGGCTGCGGGCCACGGCCCCCTGCTGGCTCAAAGTTGGGGTGGTGGCACCCCCTCCCCCCCGGCGGCCGGGTACAGATACGACCCTGGGACCCGCGTCGTCGATTCGTATGCCCCCAACAGAGAACGCAGCTTCCCGTAGGGAATGGAGGAACGTCCGGGGCACTAACTGAGTTCTGCGTACACCAATAAAGTAACGTGGGGGACCTTCTGTGACTTTGTTTTATTGGCACTGGAGTTTGAACTCAGGGCCTCGCCCTTGCTTGGCGGGCGCTGTACCACCTGCGCTGTAACTGACCCGCGTTTGAGAAGGCTGTAAGGCTTGAAGGTGTGGAGTATGTGTGCATGGAAGAGCTGACCCAGAGTGCCGACTGTGCGTTTAAGACAGGGCAAGAGGAGGGGCTTTACTGTCTTTATAGGGTGGCCAGCAGAATAGAGGGGTTTGTGATGAGAGGGCACCAATAGCTGGAGAGACAGAGTCAGAGAAGTGGGCAGCCTGTCCCCCGACCTACGCGGAGGTAGGACTGGTGTGGTGCTAGACGCCACACTGGGAGGTCGCACACCCACTTACTATCCTAGTTCAATTCTGCCAGGAGCGCTCCATACTCTCATGCCTACCCTCTAGGCCCTACAGAACAAGTGCATGATGGATCTAAACACATTTCAAAATGTATGCCTATCCTGCCAGTCTCCCAGAAGCATTTTTAGGGACTACTATTAAAGACGGGAACGTCTTACAATTAACAGGAAATTGACCCTGTAGAAGGAGGAAACACACCAAACACATGGCCACCAAGGCAAGGGGAACTGGACCAGTAACATTCTAAACTTCTGGCTAAAGGAAACATGCTAGTAACTGAAAAGACAAACTCTAAGTTTAAGTTCTTTTTTCATATATACATATTTCATATCACATCTAAACATAGTCATGGGGATGGGGTCTGAGAAAACAAGTCTTGTGCAAGCATAATAGAGTGTACTTGAACAAGTTTGGTGATATTCCATATAGCCTGTGACAAGTCTGGGCTGTATGGAATAGCCTTTTACCCCTAGGTTGCAAACCTGTACTGCAGGTTACTTACTGAATACTGTAGACAATTGTAACATGATGCTACTATTTTGGGAGTGGGATGGGACTGCGGTTTGAACTCAGGGTTTCTCACTTGCAAAGCTGGTGCTCTACCTCTTAAGCCACACCTGCAGTCTGTTTTGCTCTGGTTATTTTGGAGATTAAGTCTCTTGAACTATTTGTCTAAGCTGGCCTCAAATCCTGATCTCAGGCTCCAAATAACTAAGATTACAGGTGTGAGCCAGCAGCCCATCTGTGATGGTACTTTTGTATCTAAATATAGAAAAGGTACAGTAAAAATATGATACAAAAGATAAAAATGGCACACCTGTATGGTACACTCCATTCACCGTGAGTGTCCTATACAGGTGGACTTTGCTTTGGGTGAGTCAGTGAGGGGTAGGTGAGTGGGAAGACCCAGGACATCACTGGATACTCCTGTAGACTTCATAACACTGGGCACTCATTACTCTCTAAATTTATGAAACATACTTTTCTTCAATAATAAATTAACCTTAGCTTACTGTAACTTTTTTTATTTTATAAGTGTTTTTGGGTTTTTAAACTTTTGATTTTTTATTTTTTGGCAGCACTGGGGGGTTGAACTCAGTGTCTCCCAAAGAGGCTTCATACCCCTAGCCCTTATGGAGTTGGTTGTTATTGAGATAGGTTTCGCTTTATGCCTTGGTGGCATTCTTCACTTAACTGAGACGACATACAGGCCTTGGTTGAGATGGGATCCCTTGAACTTTTTGCCCAGGCTGGTTGGAAACCTTGATCCTCCTGATTTCTGCCTTTTGAGTAGCTAGGATTACAGACTTGGGCCACCTGGCTGGCTTGACTATTTTACAATAACACTAAGTGTGGTGTCTCAGCCACCACCTGGATTTTGGTTCAGGGCCAGCCTGGACGAAAGTTCAAGAGACCCCATCTTGACATCTTGAGAAATGGCTGGATATGGTGATGCATGCCTATCATCCCTAGCTACACAGGGAAGCTCAAGCAGGAGGATTATAGTCCAGCTGGGACATAAAGCAGAAGACCCTATTTCAGAAACAATCAACTCAAAAAAAGAGCTAGCAGAATGAATCAAGTGGTAGAGTGCCTGCTGAGCAAGCTCAAGGCCTTGAATTCAACCCCTAGTGCTGCAAAAAAAAAAAAAAAAAAAATTCACATTACACAGCTATAAAAATATTTTTATTCTGTAAGTTTTTTTCTTTTCTTTTCTTTTCTTTTTTTGTGGTACTGGGGTATGAACTCAGGGTCTACACCTTGAGCCACTCCACCAGCCCCCTTTTTTTTGATAGGTTTTCTGAGATAGGATCTTGTGAACTCTTTGCCTGGGCTGACTTCGAACCTGTATCCTCCTGATCTCTGCCTCCTGGGTAGCTAGGGTTACAGGTGTGAACCACCAGCGCCTGGCAATGTTTTTTCTATTTATTTATTTTTTTTACTTTTTAAAAACCTTTTTGTTAAAAACTAAGACACACAAACACATTCCCTAGGGCTACACAGGGTCAGAATCATAATACCACTGTCTTCCCCCGCTACATCTTGTCCCACTGGTAGGTCTTCAGGGCATCAACATGCATGGAGCTGTCACCTCCTGTGATGACAACACCTCTTTCTGTAGTCCTCCTGAGGGACCCGCCTGAAGCTCTTCCCGGGATGTCACTTTTCAGATACAGCTCTGTGATGGCTTGCTTGGTTTTTTTTTCTTTCTTTCTTTTTTTTTGTGGTATGGGAGTTTGAATTCAGGGCCTTCCACTTGCTAAGCAAGCACTCTACCACCGGAGCCACTCCTCCAGCTGGTTTCTTTCTTTCTCTTCTTTTTTCTTGCCTGCTCGCTTTTGTTTTGGGTGGGACTAGGTTTTGAACTCAGGGCTTCATGCTTGCAAAGCAGGTGCTCTACCATTTGAGCCACACTTCTTGTCCACTTTGCTCTGGTTATTTTGGAGATAGGGGCTCTCAAACTATTTTCCCAGGCTATCCTTGAATCTTGATCCTCCCAGTCTTAGCCTCCCCAGTAGCTAAGGTTACAGGTGTGAGCCACCAACACCCAGCCAATTTTTTTTTTCTGGCAGGACTGGGGTTTGAACTTAGGGACCTTGTGCTTGCAAAGCTAGCACTCTACTGCTTCAGCCACACCACTAGTCCTTCTTTCTTTTTTTTCCACCATAGATTTTCTTGTGACTAGATATGGTGGTGCACACCTATAATCCCAGCACTTGGGAAGATGAGGCAAGAGGATCACAAGTTCAAGGCTATCCTGGACTACACAGAAAGACCCTGTCTCAAAAAATGTTTTTGTTTTGACTGGCAGATTGGCTCAGGTGGTAAGAGCTTAGCAAGCGTGAGGCCCTGAGTTCAAATCCCAGTGCCATCAAAGAATGTTTTTGTCTGTAAACAGATAGTGCACCATGAATATTCCTCTTTGTTAATGAAAACTTGTTTTCCAAGATTTTAAGGAACTTGTGAGGTGTGTAAAAGCTTCTGCTAAACTCTTCTCTGTGAATTTTCTGGGGTGTTCTTTTTCTTCTGAAGTGTCCTTTTCTCTTGCCTCTTCTTCAGCTATGTGTTCACTAGACAAGAGGAACTTTTTAGCTCCATTATAATCTTATGGGACCACAGTTGTCATTGACATCTGTCATTGACCAAGATCTCATCATGTGCTATATGACTGTATTTACTGCTCAAGCAATCTAACGACCCCACAAAATGCCCTGGGCTACAGAACAGTAATGAATAGGGCAAAGGGAATAAATGTTCTAATGCTGCTTGATATGTGTTGTAAAATTGCTTTCCAAGACAATAATCGCTAAATCATTTTGCTGTAATTGCTAAAAAGAAATCATCCCATGGGACATTATGTGAGGGGAATGAATTATAGGATGAACAGCATCTTCAATAACCATCATGCAAGCCAGGCACTGGTATCTCACACCTGTAATCCTGGCTACTTGTGAGGCTGAGGTCAGGAGGATAGAGGTTCAAGGCCAGTGCAGCCAAATAGTTCCTGAGACCCCATCTCTAAAACGACTAGAGCAAAATGGATGGAGGTGTGGCTCAAAGGGTAGAGCACCTGCTTTGTGAGTTCCTGCTTTGCAAATGTGAAGCCCTGAGTTCAAACCCAGTCCCATCAAAATAAAATAAAATAAAGAAACCATCATACAGCAAATAAAACATTTGTGCAGCTTGGTCACAGGTAATAATGTCTGTCTCCTGGGCTTGTTGAGAGGATTGGACATTGCCGTCACCACACAGTACATGTCCAGCACACATAAGAAGCACTCATTGGTATCTGTAATAATATGATTTTAACAAAAATATAGCAGCAACAGTGACTATTACTAGGAAGCCTGTAGGATTGGTTGAACTGTATTGGTCGGGATCAGCTAGATTATGCTGTGATAACAAACAGCTCTCAAATTTCAGTGCTGTACAAGGTTTATTTCTCACTCAGATTTCATGTATCATCAAGAAAGGGGCACTTCTCACTTCACTCATTCAGGGTGATAGCGCAGCTGCCATCTCAAGTGCTGTCAACCACCATGCCATAGGAAAGAATAAAAAGAGCTCCAGCCCAGATATGACACCTGTCCCTTAGGTTTACAATTCCCTCACCAGAACCAAGCACAGTAACCACACAACCACAAGGGGGCAGGGGAGAGCAATCTACTTTTGGCCTGGAAGCAGGAGGACTGGGCTATCTTAACCAGCGTCAGCACCCAGGCCTCCCACAAGCCCCAGGGAGGGCAGTTTAGAATCTGGGACATAAAATAGTGGTGTTGACTACACATCCATCCACTT